CCGCGCCATGACGGAAGCTTGCAAAGCTGTTCTCGTCGCTGGTGTCCCTGCGCGCTTTGGCCAGAGTGTTTGGGATGCTGTGGGCACAGTGACGGCCGGGCGAAGAAAGGGCCTCTTCTATGACGAGCAGGCCAGTAAAGCAGAACTGTTACTTTTTTCTGAGCGTTGTGCTCTCATGGGTAGGCAACGCATGGCAAAGCCCAACACTGCTTTTAATAAGGAAAGTTCACAGGCTGATTCTGGTAGTTAGCTCGTCCTGTCAGCATTGGCTTGGAAATCCAAAAACGATGTTCACCTCATTGCAAAGACAGTCGCGTGGGCCGTGCCCATCATCGGCCACGGTTCCACCACTAGGAAAGCCTTGAGAAATTCCTCGCAGAAGTTCTTGGGCGACTTGAAAGCATGCTAAAGCCAGAGGTTTGTACCACGGTTAGAAACGCAACCCAGGTTCTTTCTTCTATCAGGACCTCTCTCAGGATTCTCAGGACCCTTCCGCCCCACCATCTCTCCACGAGTTGAGTGCTGGAGGCAGTGGTCACCCAAGAACCTGGCCCTGGGAAGTTGAGCTTGGCGGCCATTGAGGCGAAACAAATGACGGACTCCCACGGCGGGTGGAAGCAAGTCCCCTAGACTTCCAAGACCATTTAAAAATGGTTGACCTGGTTTTTGTCGTGTAAAATCCTTAGTTGATTCGGTAAAGCCTATTAAGTTCATGGTTGTTGGAAGTCGAGGGAGTCCAGTGGTTGGGTCATGGGAACCATGTTCATGACGATGAGGGCATGATCGCACGAGTTTGGGGATTAAAAGGCATTCAAAGTGTACTTGCAGCATGTTGCAGCGCTAAAGACTTCAGAGGACACCAATTCAACATGGCTCGCTTGCCAATGGCATTGGTGGATCCAATCAGCCATTTGGTAGTACAGTAGCTCGTAGGGTAGCGTTCTTTGTTTTGCCCGAACCAGCTTTCGGAGGAGTTCCCAGAGCCGGGCTCCACGCTGCCCTTTGGCCGGGCAGCCCCAAGTGCAGCAGGGTCAATGTGGGGGACCTCGGTGCGTTGCCCCATAGCGGAGCTGGTGGAGATGGAGGAATTGAAGCCTGGGAGCAGTTGTTCGCAGGATGAACACCACCCGTGTGCCGTGTGTTGAGGGTTGTTGAGGGTCCCGGAGTCCCAGATTCCTGAACGGCTGCTTTTGGGCGGCTTCGGCCGCTTGTGGGGCTCTATACTGAAAACGGCTCTTCAGATTTGCCTCAAGTGTTGAACCTTCCTTAGACAGAAATCCCAGGCCACATCTTGGTGAAACACGCCTGGTGGAGTGCCTGGTGGTGAAATAGGGCAACACAACAAAGGTTGGAACACAATCAATGACTGACCTGTGAGTGCTGCTGCTGACACCATGTTTCAGATCGACCCGAACCTGGCCCCGAACCGCAAAAGAATCACCCTCAGTTTGAGATGTAAAGGTCATGTCCTATACAGATCAATGTGTCCAAAATGATCCAAACACACAATGAAGTTCTTGCAGATAAATGAGGGAAAGCCCGGGATTCATCCATATCGTCCTGACTCTGGTTTTCCCCAAGGAAGCGTGTGACGCTGAAAGCTGAGTTCGTGAAGCTGGCAGTGGTGGTGGTGCTGACGCTGGGAGATGATTCGGTGTTCATGTGCAAGTTCAGGTTGGGAGCTGGCTTAAGCTTTCCTGCTTTGCTTAGCCTTAGCTGCCATGTACCGGGGCGCCGTCAGGGCTTAAGAGTTTCATCCTAACCTGGCAGTCCAGCTGAACGACCTCTTAGGGCTGAATGACCTCTTAGGGCTCGTTGAGAGCCCATTCGGAGCGGTTGCACTTCATGCAGACTGATGAGTAAAGCCGCCCCATGTGCATTCAAAAACGTCTTCAGGGTTGAGGGTTTTATTCATCAACAGTTCACATGATCAAGGGCTTTCAGGTAGCCCCCCTATGGCACCCCTCAACCTGTGAGTCTGGTTGAGTTTGGGTATGTTTTGGTGCTGGTGTGGGTTGATGTGGTCACACGCTTGGGTTTGAGAATGTGTTTGTGATTGTTTGTGTTTACATGTTCTAAGGACTTTCCCCGGATTTTCAAGGACGCCTCGTTTGCACCGCGTGGCCCAGCGTGGTCAGCTTCGGACGTCGTTCAGAGAGGCCCCATCCTGCAGACCCATTGACTGAAGCCATACACAACCCCCTGGGCCCGACGATACTTCACAACGTTGGGTCCAGATAGTTGCTCCCCTTTGGTTTTAGGGCTCTCTAACGCACACATGTTCGCAATTCGCCCAAGGGGCGGTTTCTTTCGAAGATTGTAGCGTCTTCTTTACCACTGATTGTCCGTTTGCACTGAGGAGGGACACTTCAGGTCAAGTGCTCTTGACCCAGCGTGGGCAGCACATGCGGACCTTTCCCAAATGCTGGGTTTTTCCGGGCGGTGGTGTGGACGAAGGAGAGTCTTTAACCACAGCGGCCTGTCGAGAGTCTCGGCCTCGGATTGGGATACTCTCTGCACAGTTTAGACTTTTGAGATGTGGGTGAGACCTATTTGTAGCAAGGGCATCGCTACTAGTAACAAGAAGCTACCAGTAGCTCCTGTCATTACGACTAGGAACAAGAAGCTATTAGGAGTAGGAAAGTTGGAACTTGTCTGACCAAAATGATTTTTTGCACTGCATTGGCATAGGTCATTCATCAAGTAAGGAGCTGCATGAAGAGACCGGCTTATATGCTTCCGGTGGCTCAATGCGGCCGCTGTGCTTGTGGGAGAGCGTGTTCCCGACCTCCAGCCAAGCATGCCTGGAAGCGGGGCAAGTCAAAGGACATGCTGTGACCGTGTTCATGGAAGCCGTGCTGGACCAAGAGAGGGCACAGCAACTGGTTCTCCAAGCGTCAGAGTGTGACTGAGCTGATAAGTGGTTGAAGCCAGAGGCTGCAAGGCTTTGCTGAGTGAGAAAAATTAAACCAAGCCCAGGAGATGATTTGAAGGCGGCCTTATTTAGAGTAGTTGTGGTAATCATGGTGTGTTTTGTTTTACCATCACCTACTCTCGACCCACACCTCTATTCCTTCAACACTAGCAAGCCAGGCAGGTGCCCCCACGTTTGGGAGAGCCGTGGTTTGGGCAAACCTGGCACCTTCAAGGTCAAGAAAAAGGCTACCAATTGAGAGCCTTTCAAAAGAACGGGAGGGAGGGGGAGGGAATGCAGAATGCACTTCAATGCACCTTAGCGGAATAAATGGACAAACAGATCCTGTAAGCGCAGATTGAAGATGATTGAAGGACTGTTCTCACCACAGAACGCCATCGGCTGGTCATCGCCGAGGTGATGCCTGTGTTTGGGTACCATTGGAGCAGCTGATCCGGTGGCACAGCACCTGCGCATCAGACACACCACCAGAGGGGTCGCTGGAGGAGTCCCTTGCTGGTTGCGAGGGCGAAGATTTGAAGCCGTGCAGGAGGGTCCCAGGGTCCCGACTCCGTCGAGACTCCCCAGCCGACCGATGGAAGAGTTCTTTGGTTCGTATCCACGCCAGCCAAGATGTGCCAGAGCGTTCATTACGACGTGTTGTTTGGATTTCTTCCTTCAAGTTTTGTCCCACCTCCCGTTAGTTCTCGAAGCCGTTGAGCTCCGTTGAGCGAGTTTGAGGGTTGGATGGATCGAGTCTCTCCTATCCGCTCAAAAAGATCCCATGAAGACCACCGTCTTCCGTTCATTCCATTCCCCATTCCTACCTGGGTCAGCTCGACACTGAAACCACCCGCTTGAAGTTACACCATGTGGCCGGCGCATCACAGCATCTGTTTGCAGGATCCGCCCCAAACAGCTGCAGGGCATTTATCCCAACGACCAGGGCGAGGGTATCGGTCAAGGACATTTGTATGCCATCGCCAAGCTTGCGGAAAAGGCTCGCGGGTGCCACACAGGTGACCCCGTGCAGAAACGACCACGTGTCACAGGAACGAGTGGAGGAAGCAGCCTTTGAAAGTGCTTTGAATCGCCAGCAGCTGGAAGTACAGCACGACTAGTTGGACCTGGAGGAGAAAATGGGGAAAAGCACCTGGCGAAGGCAACTTGGAGGACTGTTTTGGACCTCTTTTGTGCAACCTCAGTTTTGTTGGTTTAGATACAGTATATACAGCAGCACAATGCTTTACATAGTTTTGGTTTGTTGTTGGAGTGTATAAGGAATCTCACAGTGACGCCAATTTGACGAAGGTTGCCAGGGACAGCTGGCGTTTGAAAGGGCCATGCTTAGCCTTCAAGAGCTCGTCCAAGATCATCCGGCAGGTGACACAGCTGGCCAAGCCGGGGTCGGCCACCAGACATGATTAAAGCCCCAAGCATAGGTGCATCAACGCTTAAGCATCCCAAGTTTGATCGACTTGGGCCTATCGCCCTGGGCCAATTTGTTGACTGCCAGCAGAGCCATGTTAAAGCGGCCGACCTACGCGATGAAGCGAGCCTTCATTTGCCCATTTGTCAGCAGTGTTTGGTCGTCTCACCCAGCAGTGCAGCATGTGCTGGCAAAAAGTCCAGGCCAGAATTGGATCTTTCCAAATCCTAGCCAGTCCTGTTTTCGTCCCCTCGCCACAGACCAAAACGGGGTGGGCGCCTTACCGGGCTGGTGGTGTTGGCAGTCTGGCAACGTCTCGCAAGTGAGTTCACGACCGCTCGTCCCAGGTTGGAGGAACACAAGGTGACGCTCGCCCCGAGCTTTTTGGACCCACGGAGGTTCAGGGCAAAGCATCGGTTTGGCCACATGACCGACCTCACTGAGGGAGACCTAACCGGGTTCAGCTTTCGGCACCCCATCTTCCCTCCTAAGCGCTAGTTGGGGGCATGCATCCATCGAACAGCCACAGTCCACAGCCCCCACTGAAGGGCTGTGCTGCCCAGACCTATAGGACCTAGCTGTGCTGCCCAGACCTAGGACCTAGCTGTGCTGCCCAGACCGCCGGCAGTCGTTCGTAAATCTCGTCCAAGCCGCTAGGCATCCGCGGCTGTGTGAAGGACTGCAGGTGTTTTTCGATGTTTTTCCATGTGTTTCCCTCAATGACCATGAAAACCATGATCAGGTGACTCCCTATAGACCTGCGTTCAGGTCGATAGACCGCATTAATCCGACGTGTCAATGCGCTGCATGCATCATTTAGCCGAAGAGAACTGTGCCATATCAGTTGTGTTGCCAAGCACTGCACTGATCAGCGTCTCGTCCGCGTATGTCCAGGAGTACTCTGATCTACGGTGCGAAGTCACCGGGAAGGCGAGACCTGGCTGTGGATCCTGCGGGGTTCCCCTGATAGCCAGGTGAGTAGGGCATTCCAAGCACCCCTGGATGTGCACCCCGAGCAGAGAGGGGATGTAATTATATATACCTCAGAACTCTTGGCTCAATGCACATTCCGCATCTGTCCATGCACTGGATGCCCCTGTTTTTCATCTTTTTTGCGCAACATACACCACCGGCACGCAGGAGAGGACCTAAGCTTTGGTCTCAGGACGCGGAGGGCGAAAAAGGAAGGGCCCAAACGGCCAAGAGGCGCTGTTCTCCAAAGACCTCTTTCAATATGCTGGCTGACCAAGACGAATACAAGCCGAAATGGCACTCAAAGAGTTGGTTTTTTGGGCCCCGCACTTCAAGATGTGCGTACGTTGACGTGCGTACCCTGAAAATTCCATGAAAACTCCATATCTCCGATATCTCTCATCTCGTTGAATCAAGAATTCCTCATTTGGTGTTCACTTCTCCTTTTCTTTGCCGCTCCGGTCACGCGTTCGTTCTCACCTTCGTGATCCTTCGTTCTCACGTTCGATCCGCAGAGCTGAGCCGTTCGATCGTGGTGCTTAAGGGGGTTTGTCACTTCTATGGTGAAATCTCCTGGGATCTTCTGAGGGATATTTTCGTCGGTGAAGCGATTCGTCGATTTTTTCCAGAGGTGGTCATTGCCAACCGTGACATGGGATCCACTGCCGTGCTACGTGTGGCTGCCGTGGAGACCCAGGCACGACCGAAGGGCCGAAGGGCCGAAGGAAGGTGCATGGGTTGTTGCAACAGGAGATTTGAGGGAAGTCTGAAACCTAGCAGCGATGGCCTCAGTAGCGGTGGCCTGCAAGCTAAGAGCGATGGCCTCCGGTGGCCTGCAAGCTAAGAGCGATGGCCTCCAACCAAGTAGCGATGGCCTCCACCCTAGTAGCGATGGCCTCCAACCTAATAGCGATCCACCCTGGTAGCGATGGCCTCCAACCTAAGAGCTTTTGTTTTTTTGGTGGGTTGGAAATCCCCACCCCCTATCTCTACAAAACCGGGGGGG